ATAACCAAAAGGAAAGCATGTTTTGTTTAATCATATATGCTTATATATGTGAGCATGCCTAGTTATTATTTATATTATTATTATTACTATATATAATGTCTAAAGGCTGCGTATCAAACAGTGTACAGTCTGGGCAGAAGGATTGTGGGTGCTGAGATACCTGGGAAGCAGAGGAACATTTAAACAGCACTGTGAAGATACACTCAGCCAAATTCAGAATGTGAGAGATTCTCCAGGACATGTGAACTAATTTCTTCAATAAATGCATGGCATGAAAAAAAAAGGAGAAAGAAAGAATTGTTATAGATTTAAAGAAGCTTAAAAGACATATCAACCAAATCAATGTGTGACCCTAAATCGAACAAACCATCTATATAAAGAAATTTTTTGAGACAGTCTGGCAAAATTAATACAGATTGGGTATTAGATAAGGAATTATTCATGTTTGGAGTGTGAAAATGGTATCTGTAGTTAAGTTCTTATTGTTAGATTAGAGATGAAGCCTGAAGTATTTGCAGTAGAAATGATTAAATGTCTGCAATTTGCTTTCAGATATTCCAGCAAAAACATACAAACAAAAAACAACAAAAAGTAAGAGATGGAGAGGAGTTGGGGAGAGGATATAAAAATAGCACAAATGTGATGATTTTTGAAGCTGAGGATGAGCCCATGGGTGTCCATTTTACTCTTCTGTATGCCTCTGTGTGTGTCTGAAATTTTCCACAAGAAAATGTGTTAAGACCAACGTAAGGAATTTGGACTTTATTGAGTAGCACCTTGAAACCCATGCAGGATTTTGGGCTGATGAGGGAGCATGGGAAGGGTTATGAGCGACCCAGAAAGGTTACCCCTGGTGCAGTGTGCTACATGGTGGAGCGGGTGGTGAGGGAGGAGAACTCAAGATGGGAGCCCACTTAAGACCTTGATTAAGATGGTGGCCACAAGAATGGAAACTTTTTTGAGAACAGGGAGGAAACAATGGCAAAAGAGGAACTCTTTGGTGGGTTGGCAGTACAGAAATGAATCAGGTGCATGAGTGGAAAAATCCCCTCTTCCTCTTCCTCTTCAGTCAGTAGCAATTTTTGTCCGTAAGCCACTGCACTGGGTACCACGGGATGAGGAGGAGAGGGCAAAGGGATCGTTACTGAGGAGGAACTAAATCATGTCTTCGTAACATGCCACAGTGGAAAGCAATGGGAAACAAAGAGTTCTCGGGGGGTTTCTGTTTCTGTTTTTGTTTTTGTTTTTGTTTTTGTTTTTGTTTCTTGCTCTTTTTCAAGAAGGACTTACTCTCTTGTGGTTTCAATATGAAATTTATAGATACAGTGATTCATTTTGATCTTCTTTCTCTATTTCCATTGGTGAAATGGTGATAATCTTTGTCAGTGGTTCTGCCTAAATCATTTATGATACTAGTTAAGACAGATTATATTATTCGTTTGTGAAGTGGACCATTTTAAAAGAATATATGTGATGTTAATTACATGAGTTGAAATGATATGCTCTGGAAAACAGAAGTTGAACTATAATAAATTAATGAAAGCTTAGATTCAGGAGGAAGTAGTGGTTAGAGATTAAAGAGAAATGGTAGTTCTCCAGCCCTCTGCAATCAAAGAGAATTAATACTTCACACACAAAATATTAATGAGGTTTGAGAGGTTTGATGTAAACAGGCCCTCCAGAAAGGAATATACACAGAGAATAGTTTCCTGATCACATCTGTTCTCTTCTTTTTCAAGAAATTACACTACCTACTGGAGCCTATAAGGATGGGCCATTTCCTGTGGTTAATGCGCCTCCTTTCTGTTTCAGTTTCACATACCTGTTTAGAGAGGGCTGAGCCAAGGTGGGGAGAAAATATTGAAACACAGTGCATTCTTTAATCTTATTCTGCAGCAAGAGGGTGGGGGGACTTTTGAGAATCCCAAGCTGGACTTCCATTCAGTCCGCCCAAGCTGGCATCTGCTACCCTAGCTTAGACAGTCAGAAAGGAGTGAGGTTTTAGTCAGGTTTGCTTCTGGTTTGGGTCCAAATAAAGTTAGAGTTTCTAATTCATGGTAGCTATTGTAAAAAGCTCTTAGGGAGGAAAGAAAAGGAGAGGGAAATTCCTAGCTAAAAGCAAGAGAGGTGGTTTTAATTTTACTCGGGGCTGCAGAGCTGAGCTGTTGGGTCACAGGAGGGATAGAGATGGAGGAACGTGCAGTTATGGGTCTTATTATGGAAAAGGTTGAACTGTCATCAGTGCCTGATGGAAATGAGAGGGGCGGGGGGAGGCAGCAGCCGTGTCTCTAACAGCGCTGCCTGTCTTACTGCATTATCAGAAAAGAAAGATAACCTGAGAATAGGCATCCATTATCTCTCTCTACAAAGGGATTAGAGTGGGTTGTAAGAAATTAATGGCTTTTGAGTTACCACAGAAATACTAATGAATGTCAGGACCAGAGATGTAAAGCAGGTAAAACTGGCTTTTCTCTGTAGTGTTTCTTTCCTTTTCTCTTTCGTGTTGCTATTTTTAAGTTCTAGGTGGTATTACTCTTTTTTTTTTTTTCCATTAGCCAAGATCAGAAATTATACCCTTCGGGAATATGATTTGTCTTTTTTAGGGATTTACTCAATTAGTTTATGACTGTCTCCGATGTGTGTCAGCAAAGAGATTGAGAAACATCTCAGGAGCGAGACTCTCTTCTAGGGAGGAGTGCTCTCTCTCGTTTGTATGCCTAATGAAAGTATCAGAATGGCCCCCAAGTGACAGTCCCCTTTTGTTAAAGTATGGAACTTGTGTATATTGCAGCTAATCATTGATTAAAGATGGCATGGCCGGATGAACTTGTAAAACAGAGGAGAGGGAAGGGAATTGCACCTAGTGCATGCTGGGCATTATGCTAGGAGCTTTATTTCTATTCTAATTCAACAAGTACTTACTCACAGTGTACACACTTACCTACTGTGTACCAGGCATTGCAATATGTGCCGTGATGTAAGGATGACAGGAAAGACCTCGCCCCTGTCCTCACTGGAGCTCACATTTTTGTGAAGACTTCAACATGTGTTTGTTCAGATATTTAAATAAATTGTTATAATACAGCCTGATAAGAGCCCATGAGAGAGGAATAGTGTAGTAAGTTCCCTGATACTGACCTGGGTGGGTAGGTGTGTGTATGCATGAGTGCATGGGTGAGGGGCCGGGGTTAGGGAGTCAGGACACACTCCCTTTCTGGAAGAGACGGTTGCTCAGTGAAGGGTAAGTGTGTGACAGCTGGTGGAAGCGGTGGGAACAGCATAAGCACAGTCAGGCTCAGAGGTGAGAGAGAGCAACTATCCAAGCAGAGACCGGAGAAGTGAGCTAGTCGAGTCAGGTCTGGAGAACTGGTTATAAAGACACAGGGCTCGTGGCCTGGCCTTGAAGATTGATGGGGGTGTCTGAGCAGCACACCTCAGGCTCTGTCTTTTCCACTGACCCTTCTTGGCTTTACCAGTCTCAAGCACGATGAGTAAGGAGTCAGGTCAAGTAGCAGAAGGGACATTCTCTCTCGAATATTTGGTATTCTGTAGAATGTTACCTGGAAAACAAGAACTCCTGGCAAAGCACAGTTGTTTCGTGGCCCCACAGAGCATAGCCCCAGTTATTCCAGTGTTTCTGTTTTCCCAGCAGACTTCTGCATGTCACATTGACAACGAACCCCCCACCCCAATACTTACTCTTGCACTGAGTTCCACCCTATTTATGTTTTTCAGACGTGAGATTTTCCTCCAATTGCATCTTGTCCATTAGCTCTGATCTTGGAATTTTACTACTTCTGCTGTGTTTAGTCTGAGCCGGAGGGATATTGATGCCTGATCTGTTTGGATTCTTGCATCTGCTTTTTCATCTCATTCAGTTCATTCATATTAATGAATTAATATGTTTCCTTTTCCCCCTCTTCCTTCCTAGAACACAAGCAGGCATTCCCAAACATTCTGAAGAAGGGTTACCTGGAGATCAGGAAGGACCATGACAGTTACTGGCAAAGCTGTTATGCGGAGCTCTCTCCCTATGACTTGTGCTTCTACAGCCTCGACAGCAGTGGGAATCAGAGCCTCTATGCCACGTACCAGCTGTCACACTTCCAGAGCATATCTGTTCTGGGCAACCTTGAGGCTAGGCTGGTGGACACTGTTCTGTATGACAACACTCAGCTGCAGCTAAAGGCAGAGTCACCGTGGGAGGCTTTGGACTGGGGGCAGAAGCTTTGGGAAGTCGTGCATGCGGCCGCGCCTGCTTACCTGGGACGGCAGGAGGAGCTGGCGAACTCACCAGGGCTTGGTCATCATGTTGACTGTCCACAGAATCGTTGTTTACAGAAGAAATCCAGTGAGCTGCTCGTGCCGTCCCCTGTCTTAGATAGCCCCAAGCAGTACCAAAACATCCTCAGATCAGGGACGCTCTACAGGCTGACTGTCCAAAACAACTGGAAGGCATTTACGTTTGTGCTGAGCAGGGCCTACCTGATGGCTTTTCAGCCCGGCAAGCTAGATGAGGATCCCCTGCTAAGCTACAATGTGGATGTGTGTCTGGCTGTCCAGATGGACAACCTGGACGACTGTGACTCTTGCTTTCAAGTCATTTTCCCCCAAGATGTCCTCCGCCTCCGTGCTGAGACCCGGCAGAGGGCTCAGGAGTGGATGGAGGCTCTGAAAACAGCTGCCAATGTGGCCAGGAGTTCAGAACAAAACCTGCAAGTCACACTGAGGAATAAACCCAAGGATCAGATGGGTGGGCTGGAACTCAGGAAGAACAAACGACAGTCTGTGACCACCAGCTTCCTCAGCATCCTGACGACACTGTCTTTGGAACGAGGACTCACTGCTCAGAGTTTCAAATGTGCAGGTAAGAAGCAAATTTTCAGCCTAAGGCTCATTAAAGAACAGTCCTGAATCCCACGATTGGAGTTCACTCAGTATCCAGTCCCAGCTACCTCCTGTTTAAAAAGCATCTCTCCTTCAAGGAGTTTGCTATATTAAAACATCTGCTCATCTTCATGCCATGCTGGTGAAGTAAGCAGAAGCAGCTAGGGCCTACCCCGCTGAATCAAAATGACTTGGCTTAAGCATAACCAGACTAGAATTTAGGTTTCCTGAGTCTGCTGTGATTCCATTTCCTCTGCCGTCTGAAATAAAAGTCACTGGGAATGTGGATGTCACAGATTGGCTCATAAGAGACAGTCAGGCCCAAAGCTGGCTACTCACACTCCTTAGGCAAGGAAAATGTCCAGAAAGTGTCCAAGGAAAATGTCAGTAACTGTCATTGACCATGACCTTGTCAAGTCCTGTTAAGGTAGAATCCAGAAAGGCAGCCTTGACAGAAAATCTGGAGGTGGCTAACAGCGAAGTGACGATGACTCAGCAGATGACCTCTGAGTCACAGTGGGCCTGTGCCTCATCCCAGGGAAGCCAGGGTTGCTGGAACTGCTGTGGACGGGTGAGGCACAAAGTGGCGTCCGAGGCCGGGCATCTGTCAGTTCTGAAAACCCTATTCCTGTTTCTTTCCCTACTCCGCATTCCTCACACCTCCCCCCAAGACAGTAAACCAGGAAGAAAATAACCCTCACTAAACCAAGTCTATCTATCTGTCTACTATCAATGAAATCGAATTATTTCCCTTTGCGCTAAACCCCACAATTTATCACAAGAAATTTACCGTGAAGGTAGCTTTAATTGGAAGCCGGATTTGGAAAATTTTAATTCAAGTGTATCAGATTTAAGTATGCTGTTTAAAAATGAACAGGAAACTCACCACCAGTCAAGACCAACATTTCAATTTTGTGCTTGTTTGTGCATTGAAAAGTCAAATGGTGGTGACACAGCAAAACTTTGAATTTAGCATAGTTATGCTGATGGCCTTTTCCATTGAAAAATAATTTACCTAAAGTGGGGATTAAGTGCATCATCCCTGCTTTGTCTGGAGGGCCTCAGGAATGGGGAAGCAGACACTTGCAGGGTGGGGTGGGAGAGACCAGAAACCCTGAGCCAGTAAAGAAGCCAAACCAGGTGAGGTGCATATGTCTGTGGGCATGAGTGACCTTGTCTTAAGTCGACAGCTACTTTTGGAAAATACTTTTGAAATAGGAAGACACTGGTTTTAGCACAGTTTTTAGAAGTTATTGACATTTCAGTGTCGTAGTCTTCTAGTGCGTATAGTATATTTCAAAGCTTAGCCATTCAAAAATAACTTATAAGTGCTTACTTTGCGGGCATCCTGGAATTACGGTATACTTCTGTGGCTTTAGATTGCCGAGAGGGCAACAAATCTGGTGTGTTATAGGAATCGGGGAAGAACAGCTCAGCTTAATTGTCAAGGTAGAGACCAGAGTATGAACAGGGAAACTTTCTAGTAAAAGAGGGAAGAAAAGCCTCAGGTGTTAAACAAGGATGGTCCCTTTGTGGCCTCCTAATTCACCTTCCTCTCCTGAGTTTGTTTCCTGGTGGAGTGTTCCCTGACCACCTTCTGTGCTGCCTGAGTAGCATTTCTAGCCCACAGAGGAAGGAGAATGCAGGTAGAGGGTACCATTTAGCAGGTCCACCACATCTAGCAGTTGGAAGAATGAAAACAGGGAGAAGTCATAGAAAAGTGAGAAGAGGCAGGGAGAAGGAAGCTAAGTGGGAAAGAGTAGGAAACGGATCACATAATGGACTGGGATAGAACTGGGGCAGCTGCTTGAGGGGCCATGTCTTTGGGCCTCCCTTTGCTGTCTGATTGGGTGCTCACTAAATGGCTGGCTGGAGACTAGGTCACGGATGGATGATGGTAGAGGATCCTGGAGACAGGGGTAATGTAGTCTAACACGCATTTGCTCTGCTCAGTTTTTACCTTTGTGCTTTGGTTTGGAGGTCTAGCAAGGCCCAGGTAGGTTTCTCCTTCGATGTGGAATGAAGTCAATCCTAATTTCTACAGTGTGCAAAAGCAAAAATTTTTAATGTCACTGCAGTGCCCCCTCTTCCATCAGAAACTGCTACGTTCAGTTGCTTGGGGTGCACCTGGTTTACCAGGTTGCTGTCCGTTTTCCTCAATTAGCCACACATGGAATACGGGTTTCCTACCTTGGGTAGAAATACTTCATCTCCTGTAGGGGGCAGAGTCTCAAAAGAAAAAGGCCAAAACTTGTTAAGCAAACTTCTGAATGTTTTTTAAATTACTTGGGAGGCCATTCATTATAGCAAAGATTATTATAGCAGATGGAACTTGAAAAATTGATCTGTGTTTCTCACAAACACAGTTAATCTAAACCAGCTGTTTACTCATTTAGTGCTTGTGTCCCCTAACTTTTCATCCTCATAAAAACACTCATTCGGTGAAAAAGCTGGTTGCATAGCATGATTACCTTCCAGACTGTCAAAAAGTCCAGTAAATTGTTTGTGGTAGAATCTTGGCTTTATAGGTCATTTTAGTAAGAAGCTAATTCACAGTGTTTTGCTGTTTCAGTGAGCCTTTTTAGTCTACAAGTATATATGTACACTTAGTCCCGCCCCCTTTAAATATTTTCGATGAATCAACTTTAAAAGTGGAAGATTGCACTGAGCAGCTCTTTATCATGATGTCATTCAGTTGCTATTCGGGGGAGCCACAAATATTGGCTTTTAAATCTACAAAATAGTGCAGTTGGCCTCATTTCACTAAATTCTTTCTGTAGGTGAAGAATTTTCTGTAACCTTCTTTGAAACTTAAAGAGCCCCTGCAGAGAAAATGGACCCTGCCCATCCCCAAATGCCTGAGGTTATGGTTTTGAAAATACATGTTTATGCATAACTGTGTATTTCTTAACATGTGCTTGGACTTTGTGGAGTTGTAGTTGATTATGTGTGGTTTGTCCAATGGTGTCCTCTCCAGCTCCATGGCTGCCCCCTGCTAGGAAACCCAGCTACAGTGGTCTTCTTGCTGTTCTGGAAGCTGCCTTGGTCATTCATGCCTCCAGGACTTTTACACTCACTGTTCCTTCTTGAGAACATGCCTTTTAAAAATTAAGCTCTTCCATTCATTCTACCATTCTTTGTGTGCTGAGCTTCTGACCATGCCCTCCAAAGCTCAGGTGCTCCTGGATAAGTCAGTGCTTCAACAAAGCAGACGTGGTCCCTGCCCTCATGGAGCTTGCAGTCCACTAGGGAAGACAGGTGTTAATCAAATAATCGCATCACCAATGCCAAATGCTCACAGCTGCGGAAGTGAGGTCAGGTTAGAGCTGTCAGCCGTGATGCCAAGTGGGACTCTATGAAATTGCAGATGTTCAGTCATTTTTGACCTACAAAAAAAGGACAGTTTGATAAAGTTGAACTTAATGTTTGACCCTGAAGTCACAGAAGGCTCCTGAGCAGAGGAGCACATGATGAAAGTGGTATTTCAGAACAATTGATTTGCTGGTGCTTTAGTACAGCTTTTCAGAAACACCTCTGTAGCAGAAATCGAGGTATGCTTCTTTAATGAAGTTGCTGATTGGGATTCAAAATTATGTTCGATAGTAGGGGCATCTGTGGTATTAAAATATTAATTCTAAAACAAATGATTATGCAGCTTATTAAAATATTTATGGAATATGTACTTGTAAGTGGTTCTAAGGTCGTTCACAAAATGCTGTATACATTAGATTATAAAACAGCAGCCCGGTTTTTTTCAAGAATTAGACATTGTACATATCTATTTCCCCTCGATAGATCCATGGTTTTCTTGGCACTAGTACATACAGATATTTGCCCTGTAATTTCCCAGCAATCAGAAAACCTAGCAATTGACTATTATGATAAAAGGGCCCAGGGCCTTGTTTATAGATGTCACAAGAGCTGTAAAGCTCACGTTGTGAAATGTGTTACTGATTTGTACTCTAGAGGTGAATTCAGATGGCCCACGGGGCAGCAGCATTCCTGATTCTGAACTGAAATTGAAAATGTTAACGGAAGAGACAGCAAGAAAAACAGTGAGCCGAGGGGACCCCTGCACCATTTCACACCGTCAGTTTTTATGGTTTTACTCCTTTGGCTGCTGTTTAACCTCTTGGGACTGCTGTTGGTAATTACATCTCTCTGGCATTAAGAGCTTTTTTTTTTTGCTTTCCTTTTTCTTCCCCCAGCCCTTGGGAGGGGTAAGCCCAAGGGGGGGAAAAGTTTTGCTGTGAATTCTTCAGCCATTTAGTGCAAATTCCTGTAATTACCGGCATTGTGTCCTCTCTGAATGGCACATAATACAGCAGAAGCCATTCCTAATTGAGACCTTACAGGAGGTACAAATCCTTTCTTTGTTCAGCCTGACAAATTAGTGCCAGAAAGTGGCAGGGTCCGAGTGGGAATCAAAGGCAAGAAACACAAAGATGGAACTTAAGGCTACAGTAATAACCCTCTCTTGTCCTGAAGGGAAAAAGGGAATGACCAATGAAAAATGAAGTTTTTTTTGTTATAAATTCCCTTGACATGACAGCACCTCGGGGCTGCTCTATTTACTTAGCAAAAGTGATTAAATAGTAATACAACAGGGCTGCCCATTGTTTCCCCGGGGGCCCCACCTCACAGACCCCTGCTGCCTCGGCTAATTGATTGACAATGAACCTCTGATAAAGAAGTATGTTGTTAGGACCTGAGGTGGGGGGAGCCTTTTTTCCCTTCTCTTTGTGTGTCTGAGTGTGTGTGTGTGTGTGTGTGTGTGTGTGTGTGTGTGTATTTC